AAGACAACGATGTTATTGCGAACTATCCGTTAGACTTTCTCAACAAGCAGCAGCCTTCAGGAATGCCACCGCACAAGTTAGTTCTAAAAAGAAGTGCGTTGATAATGCTATTGCGCAACCTTGATCCAGCCAATGGCCTGCTCAATGGCACACGCCTGGTGGTTGAAAACTCCACACAAACTTCATCATAGCTACTATTGTAACCGGATCCAGGAAAGGTAGCAGGGCAGCCATACCAAGGATCGACATGGCACCGAGCGAGACACAGCTGCCATTCATACCCAAGAGAAGACAGTTTCCGGTTCTTTTTTCGTTTGCGATGACAATCCACAAGTCACAGGGTTAGTCATTTGACAAGGTAGGTGTTTATCTGCACAGCTCTGTCTTTGTGCATGGTCAGTTGTATGTAGCTCTGTCGAGAGTGCGCTATGCAAACGGTCTAAGGGTGTATGTTGCTGACAATGGAGACCAAGGAAAGCATGAGAATGGTAAAGTATACACAAGAAATGTTGTATACAATGAGCTACTGGAATGAAAGTGATTTATTGATTTGTAACTATACAACAGTTGGTAGAAAGGAATGACCTAATGTTGCAGTTGTATTCAAAAGCGCTATTTTGATCTACTATCCATTCATACACCCGTTTTTAAAAAACGGAATAGCACAGCTAGTAATTACAAGAGCATTATTCCTTCGTCGATGTAAGATCATACAAAATAATAAAAATGGCTTATCACATGCTGTACATTCATTTTAAAACAATAGAAGGATGTTAAAACGGCCTTTACAGCCTAAGCAAAATTACTTTGGACAAACGATTACGATCATGAACGTAATTCAAATGTTTGATCTGTGTAATAAGCGATCTTTGCCATTAAAATTTTCAGTGCAATATACTCGCTACAAAATCGTTGAAACATCGTCCGTCGCGTCACCATCAAACAACAGGTCCTTCTTAGGTAGCAAGGATTATGCACCTCTCAATACCAGCAGTAAATAAACATTCATCTCTACAAAAGTCGCATCACGCCACATGAACGTAGAGTGTCGTTTCAAAGTATTTTACCGCAATGCTAGATCCAACACACGAAATATCATCTCGAATAGTTCTGCGGCAGCAGTGCATCCGACCACGTTCTCTCGTACCTCCAAAAACAACGTTAATATGTCAAAACCAACAAACTTTTCAAACAATCACTTTTATTAAATATCACAATCATCTCCTTACGTAATTATCGTTCACCAGCCGTAATAGCCCCTTAGAGTTAAACTCTAACGATCCAACAACGATACTCTTCTCCTCCCTCTTGTTCAGAATTTCTTCAAACGTAATACACACATTCTCAACAGTCTGTCCACCTGCCAGCACATGAATATCAATAACACCTGGCTTCTCACACGAAAAGTAAAGGACCACAGGATCATCCATCATGTAGTCATGAACCGCCATGAGAATATTCTTTTTATGCAATTGCTTGAATTTGTACTTGTATGTGCCGTATATGCTCTTCCTGCTGCAATTGCCGCTACCCTTTACGAAGTAGCTTTCGAGCAGCGACTGGAAATATTCGGTCACCGTGTCCATACGCAATCTAAGAAATTTGTTCTGCTTCTTGAGGTTGTTCAGTGTTTTGTTATTAATTTTGATTTCCATCCTTCGTTGCGACGTGAGAATACGTATCTCTTCAATACGCTCGCACACCTTTTGCACGAGCTCGTCGTACTTGTTAGCCGTGAGCACACGGTTCTTTTCAAGCATATCGATTCTTTTGAGCACTCCCTCCTTCAGCTCGTCTAGAAGTGTTGAGTCGTTTATATCAAGGCTCTCCGCCCTGTCATCGTTATTTACGAAGGAGTCTTTGTTGAGAAGATCGTATTCGCTCTCATCCGAGTTATTAACATTGTCGTAATCCTCCATGCATTCCTTTACACTCACTTTCATCAAATTGTTCTTGTAGTTCAACAATTTCCTGTATTTACACTCTTCTTCTCTCGTGCTCTTACTCATCAAAATGCTCTCCAAGTCTCTTCCTTTTGTTACGCTTATGACATCGATTACGTCTCCAACCACGCCAACAAACTTATCCTCCTCATCTTTTATGACCGGATTAGAGAGATGAAGAGTTACAAACTCGTTGTCATAATATTCGTACGGCTTAGTCCTCCTTATCAGATTGTCAAAGTCCGCTGACTTAGTTGTTATCACCTGCAAAATGCCCAGTAGCTGGTTCAACTCCTTCAATGAGAATTGTATCATCGGCTTGTTGATCCTGAACTTGGAGTTGCTTGTTATCTTCGTCTTCCGAGAAATGCTCTCACAGAAATACATCTCAAGCTGTTCGCGCACGTCCATGCCCCACGATGACAGTGGCAGGTAGTAATCGTTGTCGAACTCACCCTTTATGATGCCGCTGAACACCGCGTCAATGGTGAGCAGCGTGTTTCTGTCGAACTTGCCCTGAAAATTCGGGAATGCATCTGGTGCAGCGATGAACGGCGAGATAAAATCGCTGTAGAAATCGCAGAGATCAGTCGCCCTTTTGCTCTCACCACGTTTGGAGAAGAAATACAACACGTAATATGGCATTGCAATCCCGCAGATCGTATCCACTGTGCGTGACACGATATCCTTAATGGTGTTCAAACTCTTGATGTAGTCCTCCTTGGCGTTGGATACGTTTACTTTGTCTGTGATCAGCAGGGCGTCACGGATCTCAGTTGCTGTCTTAGAGCTACGGAACAAGTTCACTATGATTTTGTACGAAACCAACCGAATGTCCTCCTCCGTGTTGTCCTCCGAGTAGAAGCTGCTGCTCATCAATTCGTTGTTATCCTCATCAACTATCTTCAGGATGAGGTACTTGTCTCGTTCCGAAGACGTACTGAACAAAGGAACGATGTACCGTGCGATAAAATCCTCCAACTCGTCCTTATCGATCTTACCGAGGATATCAAGGAGTATCTTAGGTTCTGTCTGCATGTAGAACAGGATCTTTTCAAAATTCTTATTGTACTCTGTAGGGTACAAACTGCTTTCTAGTCCAATATTGAGGCGCGTGTTGTCAAGCACTTTTTCAATTGTGCACATAATTTTATCAATCTCGGTTTCCAGCTCATAATTTTCCTTCAATTTCTCTGTTATGAGCCTGTGCTTGGCATCAACCACATATTTAATGTCAGTTGACTGTCGTTTGAGAACTTCTCTGATAGAAAAAAGCGATGCCCTGCCCGAAAGCACCTCCTTCATCGGATTTCTCATCAAAAATCTTCTAAAAGTACGTCTCAACACCTCATCATGTTTTGATGAAAGCCGTTGGGCAATCTTTTCCTTCAGCCGTTTCTTGATAAAATCCACAATAACCATAGGAATCGTATTGTTAAGATTCTCAATCTGTTCCTTAAGAATGCTTTTGGTGCTGTTCACCTTTTCACGGTACTCTTTGTACCCGCAAAGATTCTTAACAAGTCTTGAAAGTCGCTTCGGCGAAGGCACATATTCTTCATCAATTACCTTCTTCATCTCCTTTACGTCCCTGCCAATCGCATCAAATTGCAGTGCACTAAAATTCTTAATCTCTTTCCTAGCGCTACTCAGCTCTTTCTCCGAGAACACATACCTCTTCTTCTCAATTTTATTGACGTATCCAAACTTCTGCAGATGATTGGAGAGCGCATGCAAGCAAAAAATCACCGACGGTATGTTCACATCATCGTACGCATCCAAAACACCGTAGTGGTAGCAACGGTTGAGTTTTACATCTCTAAGGAAATTCATGAATACGTTGTGATTGTCTGTGTGCCTGTAGACCAATTCATTGTTTCTGTACACCCTGGCATCTTTGCCAGATATCACGTTGGCCAGATCCACCAATATCTCACCCTTCCGCAACTTCTCCTTGAACTCCAAATTATTGTTCATTTCCACGTGTATGTTCTTGCAGATCCAATCACGTGCCTGCGCCATATAACACAAATACTCGTACTCCTTCTCATATTTCCTGTTTTGATCCATCTCATACGCAGATACGCTTCCCTGCTCAATTCTGTCATGCACATTTTTTCTGATCGGTTTTTTTGACTCGTCGTTCAAATCGATCTCTAAATTCTCGGCCATTTGATGGGGGTAAGGATTTTTTTTCCTCTTTTTTAATTTTATTTGTTAAAACAAGAAAAATGAAAGTTAAAGATTGTGGAGGGCGGTAAAATGCTTTGGCTAACAAAACTGTTTATTTTAATAGGACCATCATTCAGGCTATCAAACACATAATTTACTCGCCAAAAATGTTTTTTATTACGTGCCACTGTGTGCTTTGAACTAAATTAAACTTATACACTGCTTCAATGGGCAGGACCTGCACAAATATTTTGTTCCAGTAGAAGAACGCTTAAAATCAAAGAATAGAGGGAATTGATAGCCGTCTGAGCATAGGTTCATGTGAGGAACAAACTTCTCAATAAGGAATCACGGCTCCAAATATAAATCATGATGATAAAAAAGCGGAATACTCTTCGTTGTGTATAACTATGAACCACATGTACATTAACTTAGTGTACTGTATAAGAACGTGAAGAGAGAATTCTTCCCACTGGTAACCATAATTCCACTTCGTGCTGCTATCTAAAATGCCTAATTTATGATGGAATACTAATAAACATACAAACAAAAGCTTTTTATCACTCTATTACCATTATACCAATAAACTGGTGAATTGTTCCTCTCTCTGCGAGACCACCGCAGCTTTTAGCATTCTTTTGATTTAATTATCTTGCTAAATAAAAATCTTGATTTAACAAATATGGAATGCGTCGATTTTGGTCGATATACATTAATTTATACCGATGATATACTGCCATCGCTTATATAAGGTTGTAAAAATGAATTATTGCCGTATTGCTTCTACGAAAAGTCGATATATATGCTTTAAGTTAACACAACTCACGAAAATATGCTATGATACCGGACATGGATCAAAATTCTTTTATAATTGTCTTAAATGTTCTAATTCACATTTTTTATACCTTCAGAACACAAAAGTGCTCGGTATACGTACTCCTACAGAAAGCTTTCTTTTATTACCAAAACCTCATGCTCTACACTTATACTGCCGTTTATTAACACCCTACTCATTTATTAAACACTATTTTAGCGAATGCTTGTAATTGTATAGGTCTATTACATGATTTCATCCCCTTCTCCGCTTTAAAATTACAGTTCTATGTACGGTGAGTAGCGAAGAATCAATCAAGGAACGAAATATAAATATTTGAAAAATTAATATAAAATTATATATTTCCCTTTTTTAGACACGTAAAAGGAAATGGATAGGGATACCTTCGTGTAAATCATTAAGGACACAATAACCTGGCGCAATATCGTATGTTGCGTGTTATTTTCTTGATAAATAGGCGCTAGAAAGTTGTTGAGTGCAATTCATTTGTACATTGACAGCAGCAGTGCTCATACGGTTTGCTCATAAGTGAATATAAAAGACTCATCCTGCTGTGTTGTGGATGGAATCATGATGGGATGTACTGCATAGAATCGGTAATATAGCCAACAAATTGATGTGGGTTCAATATTCATGTTGGTATGTTTACTTGAAGTATGTCTTTTTGATTTGCTTATCAAGCGATCAATGGAATATTCTCACAGTTACCACATCGTAAAATTACGTACTAAAACATTTTTTGCTTGCGACCACAGTCCAGGGGATTAATTGGCAGTATAAACATGCAAAGAACACAAGATAAGATACCGTTCTGTTGTATCCGCCTTTCAAGAGGATCAACTTGCACAAAAAGATGATTGGATGGCACATTTCGGCATAAAACTTTTGAAACTGAACAAATAAAGTTTACAATTTTTGAGTGTCATCCAGAATTGGAAATTAAGCACATGGAATTAATTTAATATCACCTAATCTGGCATATCATGGGAACCTCACACGGCTGGTTACAATAAAAGTACCAGTCTCTCACCCACATAGGCTGTACACCGCTCACCCAGGCTTATCGCACTGCACAATTCAAACAACTCTTTTGCCATGACACTTTCTCTCTTTTCTTCTATCACACTGACAATCAGCGGCACCAGCTTCTCAATCACAGGCTTTATTTCCATAAGCAAAGACTGCTGCACATCTGCAAATATGCCTGAGTTCCTAAGTGCAGCAATATCTTTTTTGTCCTTAAAATCGGCAAGTCCCTTCAAAACTTTCATTTTCTCTGTTTCGTTGGACTTGCTTCGCTGCGAATAGAATGTGATTATCTCGGTGTAGTTGAACAATTCTTTTTTGTTTTTGAGTATGTAATCGGTGAGGTATTCATTAAGAATGCCGATTATGTTCACATCATCGTTGAATAGATAGTACAACTGAAGTAGCCTGGTCCGGTCATTTCTCTTGTAAAGGATTGCTGCCACCCGGTCCACTATTGCTTTATCAAGATAGCATATCTCGGATTTAAGACCTAGCAGGTCGTATGCCTCATACTTGACAATCATTTCAGCAACGATGGATTCATACCCGCTAAAAGAATGCAGTGAATTGACAAGTTTCAGCTTCCTATCAAGCGATTTAAAGCCTTTCATTAGTGTAAATACAATCTCGGCATACAGCGAAATATCCTTTTTAACTTTGCATAGCTCTCTCATCACGTAGAATATCTCTATGATCGAAAAATCACCTGCATACAGAACACGCATCGCAGTACCGTATTTCTTGCAGAATATGAGAACCAGCAGCTTGCACCCATCGACATCCAGCGATTTATTGAGAGTGAGGATGTCACTAACACTGCGTGCCTGCAGCAGCCTAAACCATAAAAAGTCCTCAAAACTTTCTAAAAGATTCTCCACATCCTCTACATTACAGACGAGCTGGTAAAGCATCAACTTAAACCGATCATTCTTAATGCTCCGTGCCTTTTCAAATTCAAGTTTGTTCACGTAATTGTTGTTAAAGAACGCAACAAGCGACTCTTTCAGCGAGGGTGCCATTTGATCGAAGAATACGTTGAAGGTATCGATCAATTCCAAGGCCTTGTGAACAAACCCGCATCTTACATACGTGTAAACCTCGGCAAAGAGATACCGTCCCTCATACGATTCAATAAAGTATTCGTCCTTCGGGTATTTTATTTTTACGTAATCCTCAATGTTACTACCCTTATTGTTTTCCAAAAGGACCTTCTGCACATGGTCGTAGTAACTTTTCTCCAGAAAGCTCAGTTCTTTGCTGAACAGCTCCTTTCGTTTGTAAAACTCCTCAATTTCCACATGTTTTGTAAAAAAATCGAAGGCATACTTTAAAAATGGATTCATAAAATCAATACGTGCATGTTTGTCAAAATTGACCTCAATAAACATGGAGTCTCTGACCTGTATTCTGTGAAATATCCCCTGTTTCATTTTGTCCTCTTCTTTTAATTTTTTTACAAGATTGGAAACGTGCGTCTTCGCCCTTCTAATACCATCCTTAAGCAAGCGATCATTTTTTATCCTTATGCTATGTTCAAAATAACCGTTTATTATCTCTTGGATATCAATATTCTCTTCCTTCACGGTTTTTTTCTTAAGCAGACACTTTTTCAAGTTAAGATCACCCAATGAGAACACCTCATCGATGAACTTGGTGCTTTTGCAGCAATTTCTATATTTATTCGACATCATTTTTAGTTTTGTGATGAGAAGAGCGTAATTCTCTATCTTTATTGGTTGCAAGACAAGAGGAACAAATTTGTTTTTTGTCATACGAAGGGATCGGGGTATTCATAATTTTAGGTTTCTAGAGGGATCTACAAAACTATGAGATACACAACCGGAAAACGTGACAGAGTGGTGAAACATCTAAAACATACCAAGTATTGCCAAGGCAGAGATTTTATGCAAGTAATAGATCTTTTAAATTTTGCTGTATATGCTATGCCACAAAAAATAGTTTTTGCTTCTCAAAAGATGAACCGCACCACTAACCATGAAGTATTTATCACCAAAATTTCACATCTAATTAGCATTAACTACACATAACCGTTATTGATAGGTTCTTCGAATCTACAACGTAATTAACAACTTTACATGAAATGGTACTAACCAATTAATTCTATTGTTCAATTGCAGCATGATGATGTATTTGCTGATAAACATATGTCTGATAATGTTCAAACCCGGCGTGAGATATATTCTTATCTTGCTTGGATGACCAGGTCATAGTGCAGAGTGTGTATTACGGTGGTGGTACCGCTGAGTTCTCCGATATTTTTGAGATGGCTGTTCAATTACTTTACTATCAAATACCTGATGGCTTTAACTATCTGTACAACACGCAATCACAACAAAATACTGTGGATGTAAAATTTAATCTTCTCAAACCATAAAATACGCATAGCGCCATAAAAATGCACGTATGGTTTTCTGAATACCTGAAATAACTATTTATTGATCTTGTCAAAGTCAATACTGCCTCTCACTAGACCATCGATCACCTCGACAACTTTTTCAGTTAAAACTCTCACCTGGTCCATACTATCTCGCTCCCTTATCGTCACCATTTCATCTCTGACACTTTCATTGTCAAAAGTAATGAAGTATGGTACGCCAATCTCATCAGAACTTGCATATCTCCTTCCAATCGACACGTTACGCTCATTCATAAACACACGTATATTCCTCAGTTTTAGCTGCTCAAAAATATCATTGAGCTGTTTCTTATAGTCTCCTATTCGTAGGCTGGTCAAACCTACCTGATAGGGTGCCACAACCGGTGATAATGAGAGAACATGTCTTTGTTCGTCATCTTTTCTCTCCCAGTATACCTGCTCAATAAGAGAGTAAAAGATCCTTCCTATACCAAAACTTGGCTCAATTACTGACGGCACAAAATCTTCAACATGCACCGTGTGCTCAGTTCTCTTGTACTCCAGACTAATCATCTGTCCATCAAATTCCATCTCCTTGACAAGATTATTCTCTTCAACCTTCAGGTTTTTTATTTTCTCCAGGAGAAGAGGTAGTTTATCCTTAAAAGTTTTTCCCCACTCTTTCATGTCACACATTGGTTCAAGCTTCACTTCTTGTCTGGGCCTATCTAATCTTTTTTGTGCAACCAAACTTGCACCCGAGCATTTCGAATGCATGCTCAAGTCATAACACGAACGATCCGCTATCCCTACACATTCAATATACCCATATGTGGTCAAGATCTCGGCATCCCAACAATCGCATGCATAGTGTGCCATTTCATCCCTCTTGTGCTGTCTGAATCTGAAATCTACGAAACCAACGGCCTTCAAGAAATTGTGTGTCAGCCCCACAAAATATCCTATGCATCGATTTTTGATAATGTTGTTATCGATGGCATCACACAATCGCATTCGCTTTGTTTCTTGCACTTCTGATCCAAAATGTAGAGTCAACTCGACATCTTTGACCCTATCGTACTTTGCGTGTGTCTTCTCATCGGAATGCACAAAAAATTCTAGCTCTGCCTGCTCGAACTCTCGAACACGCAAAAGTCCACCACGTGGACTGATCTCATTCCTGAATACCTTTCCGATCGAGAAGGTCCCAAACGGAAATTTCTCATTGTTCAATTCGTATACTTTCTTGTAGTTTAAAAATTGTCCCTGTGCTGTTTCGGGCCTGAGATACCCCAAATTCTGAGACTTTGGTCCTATGAAAGTCTTAAACATCAAGTTGAAGTGCGTAGCGTTTCCAAGCTTGTTGCCGCTCGGGCTTTTTACATCAAATTTGGCAATAGTTTCATTGATCTCTTCCAAGGACATGACATCCAGTCGCTCACCTGTTTCTTCGTCTACTTTATCCCTCAGATAGTGGTCAGCCCGGAAACACTCGCCATTTACCTCGTCGAATATCAGAGTGTCACAAAACTTATCAACATGTCCACTCGCCTTGAGCACAGCTTCAGGTAGAATTACGGAAGAGTCTACCTCGTATATATTTGGCTCGTTTGTAAATACACTGCGCCAGTAGTTTACAATATTGTTACGTAGTGAGCAGCCTAGCGGTCCATAATCAAAAAAACCAGCCACACCACCGTAAATATTGCTGGATTGTGATATGAAAAATTTTTTTTTCAGAAGATTTTCAATTTTTTGTGCCTTCTGCATCTATGGGATAGAAATTTAGAAAATTAAATTCGTGAATTGATCAACACTTTAATTGTTGCAGTAAATAGGTGTTGTACAGGAGTGATATAGTAGCTCTGTGAACCGAGCGTTATGAATGTAAAAGTATATTTAATGGTATTTATCAAGATTAGTATCAATTTAAAGGCTCTAAATGACCACTGGGACCATGTAGATACAAATATAGCTCGAAAACTGATTAGTGGTCAGCTTGGAAAAAGTCAAAAATTTTGTTTGGTATGCTTGCTCGGAATAGGGAGCTAGAAGTAGTGTTACAATTCATTTTTTCTATGATGATCTTAGTTTTCATTTATAAACAACACTAAGGAACATGATTATCAGCTAAAAATTAATCACTCAAACTCTACTAGGTGATTATAAATAAATGTGAAAACATGACATACTAAAAGAAAGAAATAAAGTAGATGGGTGATCAAACTTTGTTCTGTTTTATGAAACAGAAATAGAGCTATTAGTATGAACACAGAAAAAAGACAAGGAACTAACAGCAAGTAAATTTCTATAATTTGAAACGGATA